GGAATCAGATGAAGACAGCAGCCTACCAGTATCTGAAAGGTCTGTCAAAATGCCTTGTGTTGAAGGCAAGACACCACTATCATCAACTTCTCCGGCCAAGAGACTGAAAAACTTGAAACTGACTGAGTCGGATGAATCTAAGCGGGCGCTCTCAGATGCAAAAGTGGAGTTTAAGACGGCCTATTTAATAGCAACAGAAGCCTTTAATAACGAAGATCTGCGCCTGTTCGATCGCATTCAAGCAATGGCCATTCGCGTTGCGGCGACAACACTAGAGAAAATAGAGTATCCCGAGGATGCATTAGCTCCATGTATGTTGTACCTGGAAGAGCTGCACAGCATGCCAGACGTTCAAAATACTTTTGCCAGCGGGTTCATGTTTCACAAAATCGCCGCTAAAAGAGGAAAGACTCCGATGGACTCCTTGAGTCGCAGGCTCGCCGCTCAAAGAAGGACGCTAAAGGACCTCTCCTCAGGGAAGGACCTCTTGTCTCTTCCGAATCCCTTAAAGAAGGTCGAATACCGACTAACATTTTCCAGGGTCTGTCACGTGAATCGCGTTTTATACGATATCGTTCAAACACTTGGGAGGGCAAACCTTTTGATGACTTGGCCTTGTGTGAATACGAAACGAAGACGAGCGTTCGGCCTGGGAGAGAAAGTTGATCCATTGCGTGATTCAAGAGTAGCAAATGTACTGCGCGAGCTGAGAATGGAGCACTACTGTGTTGCACCATGGTCATTCGGTCAGGAGGGTGAAGAGGAGAACAGGCTGAAGGATCCACGGGGGATAGTCACAAGCACGGAAGGAGAGTTCATTATAGCAGACCGAGGAGATCACAACGTAAAGGTCTTCGAAAGAGGCGGGAAGTTTGAATACTCTTTTTGTCCCTTTCCTGTCGATGAACTTACGAACATCGACGTTCGGGACGTAGCCATTGACAGGAACGACTGCCTTTATGTACTCGTCAGAGTGCGAGACCCGGCTGGGGCTAAGGAAAATCGAGTGTGCATGTTTGAAAAGAGTGGCAAAAGGCCCCTCTTGAGCAAAGGCTTCCTCCTAAGGAAAGGCTTCTCTGGCCGCAATCTGACAGTTAACGACAACAAAAATGTGCTGGTAACAGACTCGAGACAAACGATAGACGTTTACCAGCCTAATGGACAGCTTATCCGCAGTATTGGAGTTGGAACACTGAAACCTAACGTGTTTGCTATCGCTGCTGCTAATGACGGTTGTGTCATGGTACTGAACAAACATGATTCAGATATTCAAGTGTTTGGCGAACAAGGTGACCTTATTAACAATTTTAACGTGGAAGGATCTTACCACACTCACGACCAATATCCGAGAATTGTATTTCATCCTGCAAGTGAGCATCTCATCGTCGCTGGTTTTAAAAAGAAAAAGTTCCGTGTAGATATGCTCATATACACCGAAAGTGGAGAGTTTGTGCGAAGAATCCAATACGGCGAAGAAAAGATTTCTAGCATTCAGGACATTACAGTGACTCCAGAAGGACGGTTTGCTGCTATAGTTCTTCAGCTAGATTCAGAGCGTCGTGCCCATTCCAAAGTACTTGTTGTTTGAAATAATGGAAAAATTATCGTTTTTCCTTTTGAAGTAACTTTGTATTTTGTACAGGATTTTGGTGCTCGGTAAAACAGTCTCGGAACTTCTCAAGGGTTAAAATGAATTTCGTCGAAAACATAACCCCTCTGGTACGCGTTAGGTGTTCGCAGCAACCCTGTCAGTTTTAAGTAGAATACAATTCCCCTGGTCCGGTCAGTTGATCTATTGCAATTGTGCTTACTATTTACAGAATTTGGGTGTGAAATCAAATTGCTGTGAACTCCTGCTAACCGGTAACAGTTCTTCAGAATGCTAAACTCTATTCCTTACATACATACAGTGACATACATACATACATACATACATACATACATTTTATTTGTTATCAAATTTAAATTACAATTATAACCTTTCGGTTAGCTGGAACTCATTGCTGATAAATGACCCTTAGCCCAAACCAGTTCTTTCGAGCAACGTCAGCAGCTGAAATGGGCTGAAGACTCAACTCAAGTTGACCTGAGGCTAATTTCAGCATGTTTTCATAAATTTTTCAAATAGTCCTTGCTTCGGCTTGTAGTAATTTGCGATAAAAACAATATCGTGGTAGGTCGACACTGAAATAGCAAACTTTAAAAAAAAAAAAGTTAGCAATTATTATTAATTATTTCTGGCTTTCCCATCGATTGTAGCGAAAATCGTCACAAGAACTTCTTTATCACCATATATAGTATATATTCACTGCATCATTGTATCATAGCTTATCCCTCAGCTTCAATCAAATTTGGTTGTCATTATCAACCATGTGAAATCTTAAGTATGGGTCTATATATATTTCAGTGGTCTAGTAGTGGTTCACTTTATTACCACCAGCCGATTCTGTTGTTTTTGTTATGGTATTCAGATTGGATTGCGTTACAGGAAAGTATAGGCTATACTCACACATGAAGTATGCAACCTTAGAAACACAATTCAAGGGCTGGAAAATAACTCTTTTGTGATAGCTGTTCATATATAATTTGTTAAGAAACTTGTATAGCATTTGAAATCGATATTGCGTGTCCCAATCACACTATATATTATGCTTGGCAGAACGGAATAAGAAAGTATTAATCAGCCGCACTGGCTCGACGTAACTAATCCAACGCAATCGAACCTGATCGAGCACCAGTCACTTGATTGGGTTCGATTAAGTTCGATGGCTCTCGCAAAATATTTAGAGCAATCGAATTCAATCGAACGTTCGATTTACGTTCGATTGGTTTCGATTGAGTTCGACCCGGGTTCGATTAGGTTTGATCGCATTCAATTTGATGTGTCGGGTATGTGGCAACAACGGTCGAGTTTGAATTCACGTTCGGTCGGAATGCATTCGACTGGAAATGGGGGTACGGTACATGTAGTATGCGTAAAACGGGGGAGTGCCAATGTTACAAGCTTGGGTGTATGTCCCAGAACAACGAATAAATGAACTGCGAGAGGAGATTTATCTCCAACAAATCCCCCGCTACGTGGGCCACTCGGGTTATTTAAGATTCCATAGGCTGATAAAAACAAATCATAAAATTTGAATGGAACTACAGCGAGATAAGATGAACTATTTATCTTCCGCTGAACTTTACTTTTCGGAATTTTCAAATTTCAGTATCTATATCTTTGGACTAGGTGTTACATAAGGCCTCGACTTTTCGATTTTACAGTCGGTTTAATTAGTCCTTCATCTGTAAAATCAATGTATTTTCCATGCCGAAAGGTTATTTCAATAAAGATATTGCTAGTTAATTATAAATTTGTAGCTGTTATTACGACAGAGTGCTTAAATATCTGGTGGTATTTATTGTGTTCGACTGAGTTCGATTAGTAATAGTAAATGGATCGAGTAGAGTACAATTATGTGAGTATATCACGCAAGTAATTTCAAATTTTGAAATTACGAGCACGATTACTCCGCGAATTGTACGCCACGAAGTCCAGTTACTAATTAATGGTATCTATAGAAAAATCTTGAAATTTAAAAAGTCTCAGGAGAACTTCTTTTCAGCGAAAAAGTCAGTCGCGCCCTTCATAAGTTCAAAAAACTGTAAAAAATCAAGCCATAGGAAGCCATGAAAGCGCGCGTAATCTAAAAAACAGATCAATCGAAGATCTCTCGGATCATGGTGCGTCAAAGGAAGAATCCATCTTCGGTTCCTTTGATGCAGCATGAATTAATATGATATACTCGGACATGATACGAGTGTTGCCTTATTTTTACGGACACTCGTACTGCGGGCGCAGCTTCTCGCTCAAACGGAGGGATCTGGAAAAGAGCCGGGAATATAGCCAATAAGCAGACAGTATTTTATCACATGTCTCTTTTCTCATTTGCTGATTGGTTTTTGCTGAGTTTGGCGCCATTTATAAAATATTCTTAGACGTGGCGTTCATCATTTTCTTTCGACATAATTTTGGTCGTGAATATGGCTGACTTATTTTGCTGCGTGAGAACTTTGTTTACTGCTTCGAAACGACGTTTCAAGCCCAGCAAGATTCCAGGTAAGTTCTTTTATGTTTTTTAGATTGTTTTTCTCCATGATGTTGATAAAATTAAAGCAGCAAAATTCAATAAACTAGCGATAAATGTCCACGGTAATTGGTAACAAAATGGCGAATGGCAGGAGGTTCTATTTTCATTTGCATCTTAGAAAATGAAATCGTATTTCAGCTAGCTACGTAGTTTTCTCTTTCTTAGAGAAAATCGCCTTTTCCGTCCTTGTCGTTGTTTAAAATTCTTTTCTTAGATGTTTTTAAGTTAATATTCGACATCGAAGACAGAACGATCTCGATTGGAATGAACTTTGGAATGTTACATAGGCTTACGTTTAAAATGGATAACTGTTGTCCAAATTCGCTAGGATATTCAAAATTACTCTGAAAGTGAACATATAGGCAGTAATATAAAGCGCGAAACAGCAGAGGTGGCGAAGCGAAAAACAACCCGAGTCATACTGGCATGCATCCTGTTTCAAATACTGTACCGTACATGTATGATTATTCGAGGAATGTTTCAGAACAAAAGATCGACTAGAAGATTTAAAGAGAACTTTTAAGCTATATATTGTTTCTAGTCAGGTCTGAGCTAGAATTCGAGGAAGTAACTTGTCCCATACTTGTTAAAAAACTTCTCAAAACTGGAATCGTTTTTTGGAATTCACTGGAGCTAATTGACCCAGTAATTTTCTTTGTGTGCTTTGTCAATCCATTCCCTATGAGCCCTTTAAGGCATCTATAACTACTGGTATTGTTTCTATCTTCAGTCCCCACATCCCAGTTGTCTCAATTTCAGGTTCTTTGTATTTAGAAAACTTTTTCTGCGACTTTTAATCTATAATGAGACATTACTGGCCCTTGCATTGCAATCATGTGTATAGGTTTTGTTCTTCTACTCTTTGATCACTTTATTTAGCTTGTTGGCTTCTAGAATACTGTTACTTTGTTTCCAGTGACTGTTGCTTGTTCATGGTCATGTTCAAACTGTAATCTTGTGCCGCAAATATTAGCCATTTTGTTTTTGCTTTTAGTGCATTTCTTCTGAGCCATTGACTGATCTTCTTTTGGTCAAAATCTGGCCCTTTAGTTCTTTTTGGGATATCTTTTATTCTTGTGGTTTTGATATTTCGTCTTGGGCATCACTGGTGTTCTGCCTTGGTTTATTTATTTTTTATTTTTATTGCATACAGTTGTATCTAGAAACTAGTTCATTTTCTTCGTTGTTTAAATTGGGGGTGTTGTGGTTCAGTCTTACCCTTGGTACAATTTGGTGTTTTCCTTTGTTTAATATTTATTATAATATATTACCAAACACCAAAAAAATTAATCTCATCAGGTATGCCAAGTTCGTGCCTAAATTTCTCTCCTTTTTGAATAGAGAGTGGAGGTTTCTCTCTTTTTTCCATATTTCCATACTAACTTGAGTAGAGCACCATCTCAGTCCTTAGGTACATGTGTGTTTTAAGCCCTACTGTGGTTGTTTTGTAAGCAGTTCTACATGTATATCCGGGTATGGTGCCTTCTCTCACCTTTTTTGGAAGGTAGAGTATGTCCTGGTTTTGGATAGTACATTCTTTGAGTGGTAATTAGTTCTGTGCGTAGTTTTTTTATCCTGGTTACTTTCTAGTTTATACCTATAACACGGAAACTGTATGTGATAACAAGGGCAGCAAAGGTGTTGACGGCCTTAAACCTGCAGTACTGTTTCCTTCATGGTGTCCTGTTGCATTCCATCACCTCCCAAGGTATTTTTAAGTGTCGTTTCTCCTCTCAGTTGAGCTCTGTAACGTGTGTGCCATCATGTGAAGGTCTATTTGTACCAATGCATATCTGATGTTCCTGTCATTTAACCCCTTTTGACTGTAACAGCTGCTTTGGTATATTTGTCTAATCAAAATTCCATTGTGATGAATGTTAGTTTTACTTTGTGTAAGCTGTTTCATTCAATTATTATGGAAATGAAATATGTTATTAATGGCCTACATGTAGCTCCCCATGCATCCCATAGCTCAGTGGTTAGAGCAGGCAATCATCATCTGAGAGGACATGATCATGACTTCAAGTCTCTTTGTCCCACACTTTGTGACATGATGAACATTTCCTTTTCACCAAAAATAAAATTTGTTGCCTTGTGTTCCTTCTTCTGTTCCTTCTTCTGTTCCTCTATCTGTGGAAATCGCATTTATACTCTTACTATTGCTTGACAAGAGTGAAGATTATTTATGTCAAATCTTTTCAAACATATAATAGTTTAAAAGAAGCAGTCTGACACTAAGTGATGACAAATCTGCAATTTCCCAAAAATTTGGGAACTTACTGTGCAACACTGTTGAGTTGTATTTGGTGTGGAGAGCTGATCGTTACAGTGAATATATAGTAGATAATGGTATATTGTATCCTATACTTACTGTGCATACATGTGTAGGATGGCCAAAACAGTCGATGTAGCAACGACAGATACAAGTGTACGATTTACGAGTTTATTGACAAAA